GACCAACACGCTCCACAGTCAACATTGCCGAATTATAGTGGTTCCATTTCTTCGAGCCATCTGTCCTAACCATCCTGATTCCATATAACTCGAGCCAAGTCAACCCCACCAAGATTTAAGGCTTCGTTAAAAAGATAAAACTTACTTATTTTTGCAATTTAGGATGTTGCGGGGCTACTGTTTTTTTTTTCCTTAAATTTTGCCGTCTAAATGAACACCGTGAAATTGCTCCATAGAAAACGAATAATAGAATTTGACTTTAAAACTCACTATAACACTCAACATTTTAAAATAATGTTGATAAAATCACACGGGAAAATGGAAACAACGGAGCACCTTAGCTTTCGTCTTTATTCAAGACATCTTCAGAGGCAACTGGATTACATGGACAGAGAGAGGCTTAAATATACAGGGTGACCTTAAAAACATGAGGTCAGGTCATAATGATGTCATCCACTAATCCCTACACCAACACACACGTAGAGGAGCTGTGAGTTGAGGGTGGCCTAGGCTGTAAGTTAAGGGGGGCCAGGCTGTGTGTAAGGAGGGCCTAGACTGTGAGTAAGGAGGGCCCAGACTGTGAGTAAGGAGGGCCCAACTGTAAGTAAGGAGGGCCCAACTGTGAGTAAGGAGGGCCCAACTGTAAGTAAGGAGGGCCCAACTGTGAGTTAAGAGGGGCCCCAGACTCTGAGTGAAAACAACCATAAAAACTCTTTGTTGACAGGGAGTTTTACTGGCCGCCATCCCAAAGTAATTACAAAGTATCGGTAGTGTTTGTTAACTTTTTCTCGTGGTTAATTATGTTAAACAAACTGGACTGAGCGTTTACGTCAAACCTAATAACTCGAGCTAAAATTAACTTACTACTCAAATTTAGTTTAAAAAGATCCTGTACGCTTTTTTTTAGGTTATTTTATTTTTCTGTTGAGAGAATTATACTGGAAGTGTAATCTCATTGGTTAAATAATTATTAAGGTTTTGTCTTGTCTAGGATTTTAGTTTGTATTTTTTTTTAGATTATACAAACAGGTAGTTAAAATTATACATATTATACACATTGCTATTTGAATTGTTCTCTTGTTTGTTCATTATTTATTGTACATTTTTATTTATTTTCTTCTTTAGTCATAGAAAAAAACCTGGGGAAGATACAGAGAGATAAATTGAGGCACAAGAGAGATAGTGTGTGTGTGTGTGTGTGTGTGTGTGTGTGTGTGTGTGTGTGTGTGTGTGTGTGTGTGTGTGTGTGTGTGTGTGTGTGTGTGTGTGTGTGATGAAACAGATACCAACACATTACTCCAGTTTGTAACTTTTGGGATGTAAATTTACGTTGGTTTCTTGGTTTAACTTTTAATTTATTACTCAAGAACGATGGTTTAACAAGATTCATGTTTAACATCTTTAATATCATGGTTTAAATACAATACTTAAAGACGATGGTTTAACCCTCTGAGTATGATGTAACGGGATAATGAATATACCATCTTTAGTATCATGGTGTAATTCCTTATAGACGATGGATAGCTTAACCTAATCAATATCATGGTTTAATCACTCTTGGAGAACGATAGCATGACCTTTTGACATTGATGGTTTAACACTGAGAATGAGAGCTTAAACCACCAGCCGCTTTAAAAAAATAAATCAAAGTACCACCAATCTCATTCTTGATTCAACTTAAAGTCGTCTACCCTTAATCGCTAACTATATGACACTGTTACCTTGTTTAAGTCCAGTTACGTATACGAATGTTTAGTTTGGATAATATAAACTGTTTATAGAGATGAGGAGCTATGAAGATAATAAAACGATGAATAAATACGGGTTAGAGAGGTAAGGGCACTACTGGATGGACTAATTGGTCTATCGGCTGGAGCAATAAAGTCCCGGGTTAAGAGGCAATATATATTCCCGTGGAGTGGAGAAAGAGAGAGAGTGTGTGTGTGTGTGTGTGTGTGTGTGTGAAGGAAGAGCGAGGATCTTCAAGACTGTGGGTATTGCCGGAACCTCTACTGCTCACAAGGGATTTGGGTCTCACAAAAGTTCGTAGGTTGAATTATTCCTTAGAGATGTAGAGAAGAGAAGAGAAAATGAGATGAGAAAAGAGAAGAGAAGACACCGTAGCTCTTAAACACACTCGGTAATGACCACTTCCGTTTTACCACATCACCCTGTCTCTGAAACCCTACGTTAAAGTCTGACTGACGTAACCTAACCTAAACTAACTGCTGATGTGAGAAACTCGTTTGTCTCACTCACTGTTAATAGCCAGTTCAGGGGTCCACATTTACCAAGATACTGTTTTTGGAATGTGTTTGTGCGTAAAGATGACGCCCAGGGTAAGATGACACTAATTTTCGAACCCATAGACACACTGTAAACGCCTTATTTACACACACACACACACACACACATACACACACACACACACACACACACACACACACACACACACACACACACACACACACACACACACACACACACACACACACACACACACACACACACTCATCACGCCACGTCAACTTAAGAGCCGTGAAGGAGACCGTTTAGCTAAGACAGATTGTGACCAGAATGACGTCGAAATCGGTCCATTGACAGTCCCTACGTCCACTGAGACACCATTACTGCATTTATTTTAATTATTTTTTGGGGGGCTCATACGAATTTTCGATTAATATTGCTATATCTCAAGTAAATCCATATATAAGTGTTAATAATACTCGCTTACGCCTGACACTAATGCCGAATTTAATGCCTGTAAAGATATAACTGCTTGTAAACAGTAACTTTTAATATGAGTGGAAAAAACGGTTTGAAAAAAAAAATTTACCGTCGAAGGCCCAAACAGATTTACGCTTTTGGAGAACACATTTGAAGTAAATGCACATCTTCTCTTTACACTAATTATTGTGTATATCAAAACAAATGACACTGACCGCCACCATTTTAACACTGTTGTATATAACTCAACAAAACGGTGTAATATCCGATTTCTTTTCTTTTGTTTTCTCATTCATGGTACAAAGTCTTTTATGATCCATATATTGTTGTGACTCCTGACGCTGACTGTGACGGCGCCTCTACTAATTACGCCATAATGTTCTTCACTTTTTAATGGGCGAGGTTATGGTGTTTAAAGTTGGATCGATGCTGTTTTAGTGTGTGTGTGTGTGTGTGTGTGTCTTGTCAAATTTGAACTTCTGAGCCGACCTTAAAACACTACTCGAAAATTACCTCTGCACTTCCACGTCACCATAACACTTATTTCCGAGACACACACACACACACATACACACACAGGTTCTTTAAGACAGTACCGTACCAAATTTAAAACCCCTTTATCTTTAACATTAATGGCACTGTTAATAGGTGTTTACGTGACCTGTGCCAGTTACTTGGGTTTGATGCAGATAAAATGCTTGTGGCAAGTGGGAGCATCTCAGTAGGACATGAGTGTTTGTTTTCAGTGTTTGTCGAGTCCTCTCTCTCTCTCTCTCTCTCTCTCTCTCTCTCTCTCTCTCTTCTCTCTCTCTCTCTCTCTCTCTCTCTCTTTTCTCTCTCTCTCTCTCTCTCTCTCTTTCCCGCCCAATTACATCAGGAGCTGTGGTAGTCTACTTAATTCCACCTCATTAACTCTCTCTCTCTCTCTCTCTCTCACTCATTCACTTTATTTCCACTTCTTCCTGTCTTCTTTTCCATCTTTCTTCCTCCTTTCTGCTTCGTTTTTTTCCTTCTTCCTTCTTCCCCCCTTAGTTTTGATTTGTTCAGTATCCCTTCTTATTCTTCCTTCCCTCCTCTTCCTTTTTTTCATCCTTCTGCATCTTCCCATCTTCTGCCTTTTCCTTCTTCCCTCCTTCAATACCCATCCTATTTCTTCCCTCCTCTCCTCCTTGTTTTTTCCTCTTCCATCATTCTTTTTCCCTTCCCCCAGCCTTTTTCTCTACCACTCCTTCCCTCCCCTCTTTCTTTCCTACTTTATACCTTCCTCCACCTTCTTGCCATAAATTATAATTATTTCCAGTCTCTTAATTTCCTTCTACACACACACACACACACACACACACACACACACACACACACACACACACACACACACACACACACACACACACACACACACACGAGAATAATAATATTAATAACAACAACAACAACATACAGATAACCCACATCTACAACCACCATCACCACTATCAATCAATAGTTCAATATCACTATTATCACCATCGTCATCACCACTACTTTCACCACTATCACTACCATTGACACCATTACCATTAACACCACTAAACGCCCACACACCACCACAACCACCACCCTCCACACCCATACACCTACCACCACCAATCTGCGCCCACACACCACCACAAGCCACCGACTCCACACCCTACACCACTACCACCACCAATCTACGCCCACACACCACCACAACCACCACCATTCCACACCCGCACCACTCTACGCCCACACACCACCACACACACACTACCACACCACTCTACGCCCCACACCACCCTCTGCCCACCACCACCACCACTCTACGCCCATACACCACCACCACCACTCTACGCCCACATCACCACCACCACTCTACGCCCACACACCACCAACCACTCTACGCCCACACACTACCACCACCACTCTACGCCCACACACTCCCACCACCCTCTACATAATACACCACCACTCTACGCCCACACACCACCACTCTACGCCCCACACACCACCAACCACTCTACGCCCACACACCACTACCCCACCTCTACGCCCACACACCACCCTCTACGCCCACACACACCACCCTCTACGCCCACACACCACCTCTACGCCCACACACCACTACCACCCCTCCTACGCCCCACCACCACTCTACGCCCACACACCACCACTCGCCCCACACTCTACGCCCACACACCACCACACGCCCCACACCACCACTCTACGCCCACCAACCCTCTACGCCCACACCACCAGCGGGTTCTGAGAAACACGCCATGGGTGAAGCCTCCTCCAATTTGCCTCCGTCAAGAGAACTTCGCCTTAATAATGGGCATCCAACCAAGCGAGTGTGGAAGCCTCTGTGGTGTAGTTGGCAGCTTCGACCCTCACTGACTCCTGCCTGGCTAACTGGATAAGGGATCAAGTGCCATGGATTACCGAGTATTAGTGGACCGCGTAACTAATGGTGTGTGTGTGTGGTGTTACTGATAAGTGGTGACAGTTCCAACAATATAGATACTAGGTCACTTTCCAGTATTTGGTGTTATATGTTATCATTGTGACCTTGTCTGGGTGATTCTGACTTTGGTGTTTTTGTGGGGGGAGTGGGGGAGATCATAATGGTGATGCTTTAACTCAGGTACATGTGTTAACTGTATTTATATAAAGACTACTTAATCTATGTAAATACGGTAATAGTGATGCATCAGTTTAATTACTTATTATAATGTGTATGAAAATTAATTATCCTTGACACACACACACACACACACACACACACACACACACACACACACACACACACACACACACAGACACACACACACACACACATTAATTAGTGGTGCTTTGATTAAGATTTTATTATGATGGTAAATTAAACTCATGATATACACAGTCAATAAATCCCCAGCATACATGGGAATATAACCAACATAGGAGATATACTAAGTGAAATATAACCAACATAGGAGATATACTAAGTGAAATATAATCAACATAGGAGATATCTAATAATATAATCAACATAGGAGGTAGTTAAGTTGGGAGAGAGCTAGATCACAAGTAGCTTTGCTGGGTTTATTACCAGGTAAACATATAAATAATTTACATCTCCAGTTGAAATTGTGATTGTGTCTTCCTGGTATTTAGTATTAGGTTATTTCCTTATATGATAGTCATTATTAAGATATATGTTTTTAATTACAGTAAGTTAAAGGCATCTGACCTAATGAAGCTTTTCTTTGGATACAGTGAGGATACAGTTTGGTTCGAGGTGTTTATTCTCTCTCTCTCTCTCTCTCTCTCTCTCTCTCTCTCTCCTCCTTCATTCACCTGACATGTGAGGTAGAGAAACAACTACAACCTCACCTCCCTCCTCACTTTCTCTTAATAGGTATGATAAGAGGTAATACACCGTTATAATAATAATAATAATAATAATAAATGTTCCTTACCAGCTCCCAGGGCTGAGAAAACAATAATGGTTTCCAACACTCACTTCATACCTGCAGGATTGACGTCAACACAACACTACTATTGGGTAAAACATTAATATTACGGAATGACAACAGTTGTATTGTTTATACTGTACTTTTGTTTGTGACGTGTTATGCCATATCTTGTGTTGTTTATACTTAGGAACTGGTATATAAACCTCCTATAAGCTGTTATTTTACCTTATTTACTAAGTATATTGTACATATAAGTCTATACTAATAATTCCTCGTATAAGCTTCTACATATACTGGTTATACTTCTGTTATAGGCTGTACTACCTTCTCCCTGTAGTTCATTAATACAGTTTATTAATCATATATTACCCTATTAATTCTTCATGTGACGAACTTTAGGAGTCCTTGATATATATTTTGGCGAATATTATTTTTTTTTCTCGACGCAACACGGGAAGAAATTTTTTTTTTTCCTATTTTTGTGTGTTTTTACAGAAAAAATTACGATGAATTTTAAATATTGTCCTGGTAATGCATAATTAACTTGTTATATTTTTTTTCATTTTTTACCTGCATCAGTTAACTATGAATGTCATTTCTGGGTGACTGACTGACAGACAGATTAACTGTCATTCTCCCACTCACTCTCATGTTCATTTACTAAACAATTGACTTATTAAACTGTCTATTGGTGACTGACTGACAGACAATCTAAATGACAGACATTCTTTTTAACAAACTGACTTTTTGATTGACTGACTGTGTAACTTGTGATTGACTAACTTACTGACCGACTAATTGACTATACTAAATACCTTCCTAACGATACTAACTGACTACCTGACCTACTGATAATAACTGAGTCTCCACTCATCTTCCTAAGGTATTTTTTTTAGTATCTCCCAAGAACATAGTTTACATAAGACCCGTTAATCTTGTATATTTAAACATTATTTTGGACAATATATACATTATCATCTATTATTGTATGATATATTTGGGTATACATTATTTTAAGAAATGTATATATCGTGTATATTAAACTATGTATTGTGTAAGATTGTGTAAGTGAGGATGTTGGTCTTGTGTGTTAGGTTGGTGGGAGCGCCCGGTGGAGTTCGACCAGCCGGTACCTGGTGGAGGTGAAGGAGAACACCTGCACCTGAAGCACCTCACAGCCAGGGTCACCCCGCAAGGTAGGCAGTCCATTCTTCTGGTACTGTTACTTGTCTGTTCCTGCCACTGATGCGTGTCTGTTCCTGCCACTGTTGCTCGTTTGTTCCTGCCACTGATGCGTGTCTGTTCCTGCCACTGTTGCGCGTTTGTTCCTGTCACTATTGCTCGTCTGTTCTTGCCACTGTTGCTTGCCTGTTCCTGCCACAAACGCTGGCTTGTTCCTGCCACTTCCTTGCTCTATTCCTGGTTTGAAGTTTCCACTGTTGCTGGTCTGCTCTTGACAGTTGTGCGGTGTTGTTCCAGCTACGATTCCTGATATATTCCTAGTTTGTTACGAGCATCGTTCTTGATCTGTTCCTGAGACTGTTCTTGGTAAAAGGAAGATAATGTTACTTGAAAAATGTAGGCACTGGAACTAAGTAAACTCTACTGTAGGGACACTGTAGGCACTATTATTGGTTCAAGATACTGCAGCTCCAGTTATATTGACGCAAGATGGACACTGTTACTGACACAAGGTTAACATTGTTATTAATACTAACCTGGTCATAAAAAATAATAACACTTAAAATATATTGACTAAAAATGAAAAAAAAAAACATGGTTAAAAAAAGTTACTTAAATATTAACTAAATAAATCAGTGAATTAATAAATATATAGATGAAATATTAGAAATAATCGCTTCATGCTGCAAACTGGAAATATTGTAGAGTAACATCGATAAACAAACGGTAGGGTAGAATAAAAGTACGACAAAGGGAAAGAGTGAAAAGAACTGGTCAGCTGTGTTGAAGATTCTCTTGTTTGAATTGTTGGTGAGGATTAGCTGTGTAGGCGAGATTAGCTGTGTTGGTGAGGATTAGCTGTGTGGGAGAGGATTAGCTGTGTTGGTGATGTTAGATTAGCTGTGTTGGTGGTTAGCTGTGGCGAGATTAGCTGTGTTGGTGAGGATTAGCTGTGTAGGAGAGGATTAGCTGTGTGGTGAGGATTAGCTGTGTAGGCGAGGATTAGCTGTGGTGGAGGATTAGCTGTGTGGCGAGGATTAGCTGTGTTGGAGGATTAGCTGTGTAGGCGAGGATTAGCTGTGTTGGTGGGGATTAGCTGTGTAGGCGAGGATTAGCTGTGTTGGTGAGGATTAGCTGTGGCGAGGATAGCTGTGTTGGTGAGGATTAGCTGTGTAGGCGAGGATTAGCTGTGTAGGCGACGATTAGCTGTGTAGGCGACGATTAGCTGTGTAGGCGAGGATTAGCTGTGTTGGTGAGGATTAGCTGTGTAGGAGGATTAGCTGTGTTGGTGAGGATTAGCTGTGTAGGCGAGGATTAGCTGTGTAGGCGACGATTAGCTGTGTAGGCGACGATTAGCTGTGTGGTGAGGATTAACTGTGTTGGGAGGATTAGCTGTGTTGGCGAGGATTAGCTGTGTTGTGAGGATTAGCTGTAGGAGAGGATTAGCTGTGGGTGAGGATTAGCTGTGTAGGCGAGGATTAGCTGTGTTGGTGAGATTAGCTGTGAGGAGAGGATTAGCTGTGTTGGTGAGATTAGCTGTGTAGGCGGGATTAGCTGTGTTGGTGAGGATTAGCTGTGGGGGTTAGCTGTGGAGGATTAGCTGTGAGGCGAGGATTAGCTGTGTTGGTGAGGATTAGCTGTGTAGGCGAGGATTAGCTGGTTGGGAGGATTAGCTGTAGGCGAGGATTAGCTGTGTAGGCGAGGATTAGCTGTGTGGGTGGGAGGATTAGCTGTGTAGGCGAGGATTAGTGTGTTGGTGAGGATTAGCTGTGTAGGCGAGATTAGCTGTTGGTGAGGATTAGTGTGTAGGCGAGGATTAGCTGTGTTGGTGAGGATTAGCTGTGTAGGCGAGGATTAGCTGTGTTGGTGAGGATTAGCTGTGTAGGCGAGGATTAGCTGTGTAGGCGACGATTAGCTGTGTAGGCGACGATTAGCTGTGTAGGCGAGGATTAGCTGGTTAGATTAGCTGTGTAGGCGAGGATTGCTGTGTGGGAGGATTAGCTGTGTAGGCGAGGATTAGCTGTGTAGGCGACGATTAGCTGTGTAGGCGACGATTATTGTAGGTGTCGGTTGGCGGATTGCTGTGTTGGGAGGATTAGCTGTGTTGGTGAGATTAGCTGTGGGCGAGGATTAGCTGTGGGGGATTAGCTGTGTAGGCGAGATTGCTGTGTAGGCGACGATTAGCTGTGTAGGCGAGGATTAGCTGTGTTGGCGAGGATTAGCTGTGTTGGAGGATTAGCTGTGTTGGCGAGGATTAGCTGTGTTGGTGAGGGGGTGCAGTGAAAACCCTGTAACGTGAGTATAGTGATGATGTCTCGCTTATATAAATCATAATTGGTTTTTCCTCACATCCGGTGGGAGATTAATCACAAACAGTACACTAACCTTTATTTTGTTTTGGTTTAAATATTATTATCCTGTCATCTTCCATCACTAACAACATTGTGTTTAGTTGTTGATTCACACATATTGCGTATCATATTATTATTATTATTATTATTATTAGTAGTAGTAGTAGTAGTAGTAGTAGTAGTAGTAGTAGTAGTATTTGGAAGAAGAAAATAAACCCAAGATAATGTTAAGACAAGTTGAAATATGTACACCGACACTTGTTTATAATTAATTACACAATCTACAAAGTGACTTATAACCTCCACACAAACAATCATTCCCTTATGTCAACACACAAAAAGAAACATCGCTAAAATAACACAGACAATATATCAAGAGACAGACGACGTTCCACTAGCTTACTCTAGCGTCAATAATACTCGCGTCTTGTGTGGAAGTGTTTGAGAGTTGTTTTGTTTTTACCAGCAAGCGACACAGATATTGCCTCTGGTGACATTGTTAGGTTGAAACAGAGGAGGGCGTTCGTCACTGTATCCACATAGGGGTTTTTTTTTTCCCCCATCCACTTAAGCCGAGGGAAAAATATATACAGTTAAGGTGGACAAGAAATAGAAATTACTTTAGCTTTTCAGATAATAGCCGCCGGTGTTGTTGTTGTTGGGGAAGTTTTGTTAAAGGGTGGAAAATAATTTTTTATTTACTCTCTCTCTCTCTCTCTCTCTCTCTCTCTCTCTCTCTCTCTCTCTCTCTCTCTCTCTCTCTCTCTCTCTCTCTCTCTCTCTCTTTCTCCATCCGCTTGCCTCCTCCTCTCACCACCACCACACCATTCCTCACATATCACTTATACCCTTCACTATGTGTGTATTTTTGGGTATTTTTTGTACCCTTGTAGTTCTGTATCTTGGTATATATATATCCTGGACTGTATTTATATGTATCTTTGTAACCCTGTATGTATTCCCTTAATGAAACGTGAAGGTAAATTGTTTGGATTTTAATCAAACTAAAAGGTAGATTAGTAGAAACAGTCCGAGATGTGGACGGTACTCTGATTGGTTGAGTAGTAAAGGTAAATGTCTATAGACGTAATTTATGAGACTTTAATTAGACTTTTAAAGTAAAGATCATCGGTCTTAATTCTATTCACAAATAATTATTAACACTTCTAGTTATACCTGGAATATACATAATTATGCTTCTTAATATACTATAACGATAAATATACTGTATACTTATATACTTTTTTATTGTACTTAAAGGAAAATATACTATGGCAGTCTTTAATTAGACTCATATTTACTTCAAGTATCATAAGTATAATTATAATTAACTCTAAACATAATTAAATATAGTTTTTTAATTGTAATTACACTTGAATATTTATACCTTAATTTAACTAAAAGGTAATTATTTGATTTTAATTGGACTCGGCTGTGCACAGGTAGGTACAGGTTAATTATCCCAATATAAGGTTATATAGGAATTGTATGGCCGTTATATATATTAATATAGTTTTACAGTATGATATAATCCCTTGAGTACGATCACATAACCCACAGAGTACAGTATTATCGTACTCAAGAGAATAGGGTTTTAAGTCATTATAATCACTGTACTCAATGGGTTACGATATTTTATAATGAACTAACTCATTTTACTCAGAGCGCATAGCATCGTACTCAGAGGGCGTGGCAATAGTACCCAGAGAATTGGTATAGTACTCAAGTGGTTTAGCACCGTACTCAAGGAGCTCGGTATCGTACTCAAGTGGTTAATGATAATGGATATAGAGAGATAACGTTAATCGTACTGTGGGGTTAGATTAGGTTTGGTTAGGTTAGGTTAAGTTAGTTAGGTTAAATTAGGTTAGGTTATAACTTAAAATTAGGTTAGGTTAGATTAATTTAGTTGAGTTAGGTTAGATTAGTTTAGTTTAGGTTAGGTTATGTTAAATTAGGTTAGATTATGATAAATTAGATTAGATTAGGTTGGGTTAAGTTAGGTTAGGTTAAGTTAAGTGGAAGTAGAGTTGTAATGAACTTGGCTAGGAGGAAATACAGTAGCCAGAGATGGGTGTTGTTTAATGGTACTTTGCAGACTAGTTATCAGTGGACTTTGGCAATAGAGGGAGTTTATGTGTGTATATTTTACCTGAACCTGAACCTGTATCTGTACCTGAACCCCTGCCTGTATCTACCTGAACCCCTGCCTGTATCTACCTGAACCCCTGCCTGCATCTACCTGAACCCCTGCCTGTATCTGTCCTTGAACCCCTGCCTGCATCTACCTGAACCCCTGCCTGTATCTATACCTGAACCCCTGATTGTACCTGTACCTGAACCCCTGCCTGTATCTATACATGAACCCGTGCCTGTATCTGTACCTGAACCTCTGCCTGTATCTACCTGGACCCCTGATTGTATCTCTACCTGAACCCCTGTCTGTATCTGTCCTTGAACCCCTGCCTGTATCTACCTGAACCCCTGATTGTATCTATACCTGAACCCCTGTCTGTATCTGTACCCCTGCCTGTATCTACCTGGACCCTGCCTGTACCTGAGCCCTTGTCTGTACCTGAAACCCTGCCTGTATCTGTAATTACCTGAAACCTTACCTGTACCTGAACCCCTAAATGTATGTACCCCTGCTAGTACCCTTAACC